TTGCGATGTCGGATGATTATCATCCATGACTTAGTCAATAAGGGAGCTTAGTCCATATCCAAGGAGTACACGCATCACTTGGTGAAGTGTACACACTTAGTCTCCGAGCCTGACAATAGGTGAAGAATTCACCTAGTGTCAGGGTCAAAAAATAGAAGACTCCAGACGCTTAGCTGAACATGCAACTAGTCTCTAGCTTAGCTGAGAACCAGTAGAAAAAAAAAAGACACTCACCGTAAGGTGAAGTCTACACACTTAGTCCCCAAGCCTGCTAGAAGATACAAAAACATCTTGTAGCAGGGTCAAAGAAATAAGTAGAAATATTAGGGAACGTTCCGATCGGTCTTCAGGTGTTGATGCAGGAAATAGCCAGCGCCCTCTGTCATGTACTTATCAAGGCCCCCGACGTGCTGCCCAAGATCAGCACCCTGATCCGAACAGCATGGAGCAACTTGATAGCACACCAGCTTAATCAGAGCGAAGCGAAGTTTTGGCTTATCACACACTGCCGCCAGCAAAAAAACAAATTTGTTTCGAACCGATCGACGAGATGTAACAAAATCCGACTGCCAAGGGAGTCCCCAGCTTAGCTAGCAACTCTTGCATGAAGAATCCAAACACCGAGAAGTCCCTAGCATAGCTAGCAAGCCCAGCGTAGCTGACGATGAAGCTGAAAGCTCTAGTTTGGTTTTGGTGAATTGATGAAACCCTAAGTGCTAACCTAGGTTATCAAGTGATCATGAGATAGGTAGCACACTCCAAGTGGTGAAGCAAATGAAGATCATAGCATGATAAAGATGATGGCATGGTGATGATCAAGTGCTTCGACTTGGAAAGAAGAAAGAGAAAAACAAAAAGCTCAAGGCAAAGGTATAATTTGTAAGAGCTATTTTGTTTTAGTGATTAAGACACTTAGAGAGTGTGATCACATTTAGGATTGATAGCCGTACTATTAAGAGGGGTGAAACTCGTATCAAAATGCGGTTATCAAAGTGCCACTAGATGCTCTAACTCATTGCATATGCATTTAGGATCTAGTGGAGTGCTAACACCCTTGATAATATTTGTGTAAATATGCTACCACATGTGCACAAGGTGTTTGTAGGGTTGAGATGGGTTTGAGTCCCTCTCTCCCTCCTGCCTCGCAAGCTCGGCGGGATTCGGCGCTTTCGGGAAAATGAAATGTCTATTTTCTATTGCGCCGGATGCAAAATTCTTGCTGGTTGACACACTTGAGCAAGGGTGAAGAAGTAAGAGTTGAAATAGAGTTGATCGAAATGATGCTGGCGTCGGTCCAGTGACCGGACGCTGAATCCAGAAGCACCGGACGCTGACTGCCTGCGTCCGGTCGCGCTGACTCGGCGGTACAGTGGCTAGGGTTGAGCACCGGACGCTGGCTGCGTCCGGTCAAGGTGGACCGGACGTGTCCGGTCGAAAAATCATGCCTCGGGGAGCTTACTGGAAACGACCGGACGCTGGGGCTTCAGAGTCCGGTCGGTTTGACCGGAGCGTCCGGTCAATACTTATCCGTTAAGATCTGACAATTCAGTTTTAACTCGGAATGACACGTGGCGTCCATCTATGGACCGGACGCTGAGTCCAGGGTCCGGTCAGTATGACCAGAGCGTCCGGTCAGAGCGCGTTTTGCCCAGTGAAGGGGTATAACGGCTCTATTTGATTGGGGCTCTATATATAGCCCCATGGCCGGCTCAAGGGAGCTCTCTTGCACATTTTCATTGACATAGCAACCTTGTGAGCCTAGCCAAAGTTCTCCCACTCATTTCTATCATAGATTAAACATCTTTGTGAGATTGGGAGAGAATCCAAGTGCATTGCTTGAGTGGTTGCATCTAGAGGCACTTGGTGATTGTGTTTCGCTACGGATTTCGCTTGTTACTCTTGGTGGTTGCCGCCACCTAGACGGCTTGGAGCAGCAAGGATCGTTGAGAGGAGGAGGTGATTGTCTCCGACTCCGATCGTGGTGATTGTGAGGGTTCTTGACCTTTCTCGGTGAGCGCCAAAAAAGGTACTCTAGTAAATTGCTTGTGGCTTGTGTGATCCTCATCTTGTGTTGGTTGTGCGGCACCCTATTGAGGGTTTGGCGAGTGATGCCAATCAATAGCGTGAACCTCCAAGTGAGTGAATCGCCACAACGAGGACTAGCTTGCTTAAGAAGCAAAGTGAACCTCGGTAAAAATCATTGTCTTCACCATTTGATTCCGAGGTGATTGGTCTACATTGGTATTCATTATTGTGATTGATTGGTTCCTACCACTACACGGTGGTATAACCCTCTTGATCACTCTCTTTACTTTACCACAAACTAGTTGACAAGCTCTTTAGTGTAGCTAGTTGTGAGAGCTTGCATGCTTGGTTGGTGTGGCTCTTTAGTTAGCCTTTGAGAGCACACTAACATAGGGTAGTGTCATTGCTCTTGTGTGAATTGACACTATCTAAACTAGAATTGTGGTAGGTGGCTTGCATTTTTGAGTAGGCTAACGCAACACTCGCTTCGCCTCATAATTGTCTAACCATTTGGTTAAGTGTTGTTGTAGAAATTTTATTAGGCTATTCACCCCCTCTCTAGCCATTAGGACCTTTCAGAAGCCCAAGCGATAAGCAATCTGAACAACTGGTCAACGATGAAACGAGCACCGAGGAGTCCAACCAACTGGTCGGCGGCGAAGTGAGCGCCGAGCAGTAAGGAGCATCGAGAAGTCTGACCAACCGATCGATGACGGCGTGAGCGCCGAGCCGTAGGGGCGCGCCGAGCAGTCCGACCAACTTGTCGTGACGAAGTCCATGAGCCTAACGATCCGACCAATTAGTCAGCGGTGAAGTCTGAGTGCCGGTACGACCACCGGACGATGATCCTCTTGTCTTCCCTAACTGATCCAGTCCCCGAGTGTAAAAAATGAGCTCATCGACCAAACCTGGCTTCTGTAATACAAATATGTTGAACGGGTAGTACATAATGTAAAAATAAAATATATGAAATCCGGAGAAAATCGGCACCGATGAAATAACATATGCAAAATAATTTCGCTTCTCGCTCTGTGAAGCCTTCTTTCTCTCCTCAAGTGGTTTGCCTTTTACGTGAGAACAAAGCCCCAGCTATTCCATATCCTATGGCGCAGAGCGCTGATTCTCGTACACGCTTAAGGATACAGGCATCATCGAGGAGCCGCTGCCGACCAGCCCATGACGCAGAGCGCTACTGCCCATGCACGTTTAGGTGCTGAATCGAAAACAGGGCCACTTCTTTGCCTCACGATGAAACCGTGTTCCACCGACTTAGTCAAGAGGAAAAGGCGAAAAAACAAGATTAGACGCTAAGCGCACCCTTAGGGTGGTCGGCAAAGAATCATGAAGAAAATTTTGAAGATGCATGGCGATTGAAAAAAATTATTTGATTAAAACATTTAAGAAAATAACACTTAGCTTGTTGGTGGAGACAAGTCGTCGTCGTGGCCGAGTGGGTAGTTAATGATGAAGCCGGCCAATTGGGATGTGTGGCCGACTGGTTCTCGATCGAGTACGAGTTGTCGAAGCAGTCGTCAAGTCGCAGACGTGGCCGTTTGTAGATGTCCTCCTGCGTGCTGGAGTGGCGGAAATTCATCGCTTCTGGTAGATCGATCTAAGACCAACTCCGCAAGAGACAAGCAATCGGCTAAGTCTTTGTCGATCCGATCGATGGAAACGATCAGATCATCCTCTTGGATGGGCTTCCTCAACCGACAAGGCATCGGGCGGCGAGCTCTCAGTGAGGAAGATGACCCCAAAATGGGTTCTGAGATCGAATGTGCTAGCGTAGATGTTGGCATAATCGGCATAGGATTATCCTACACCGTCTCCACGATCTCCCCTTCACCCTCAGCGTTGATGACCCTGGAGATGGATCCGACCATTAAGGACTGGCCTGGATAGAGGGAGTACGGAGAGCTTGGGACGTGCACCATCTGGTTCGCCATGAGAATCAGCACGCACACCCCTACCTAGCGCGCCAACTGTCGACGGGATACCATCGATAGTCCACCGAGGGGTACGCCCACGATGGTAAATTGTGTGGTAGAGGTACGCGTGATTAGGAACTAGATAGCAACAGAGACATAAGATTTAGACTGGTTTAGGCCGTCAATATGACGTAAAACCCTACATCCTGTGTTTTGTTGGTTTGTATTGATTGTGTATGCGATGGGATGATAATGAGATGATGAGATATCTAAGATCTCGGTGCCAACTAGGGGACCCCTGCCCCTCCTTATATACTCTGGAGGGGTAGGGTTACAAAGAAAGTATCCTAGTCGATTATATGGTAGGTATTCTATTTGGATTACAATATCTATAAGAGTCCTAGCAGATCATATCTTCTACCATCTTGTGGTACCCGGGGGTATATCCCCCACAGGTTCGATTCTCGGTTTTTGGGTTAAATGTGCCCACCCTGACAAGGCCTGCTATGTTGGTTACTAAACTTTGTCATGTCAAAGATTTATAATGTCAAACGAAAGGACTTAAAAGTTGGACAAAATTATGGACATTACTAGTGCCCGTGCGCGGAGTCGACTACGCCCGCACGCTCACTCTTCCTCATCCTCTACTATTCTTCTTCTTGCTTGCAACAGCCCCTTCCCCACCCTCCACCGCCGACGATCCCTCCGCCCCTCTTCCTCCCATGCGACCACCACCCCAGATTCGGCGATCGTCTTCCTCCTCCCCCACCGTCCACCGCCCTGCCGCCCACCCCCGCCACAGGCGATAGGGTGAAAGGTCCACTATTATGAAATATGTCAGTCGCAAAAAAAAAATATTATGAGATATGTATTGAATGATACACGTTGGAGCACATTTGGAGCAAACATGACAAACAATTTGGCTTAGAACAGCTGCAAGACAAAAATCTCTCTTTTTCATTACGGATGATCACAACTCATAATACATACAGAGATAGAACTGACATGAATACCCTAATAATAGTCATCAAAGAACTAGACCAGACCCTAAATCATCTGAAGAGAGGGAAGCAACGAACGCCTGACGCCTGAGGAGGTCCTACATGATGCTGGGCCTCTCCCTCGTACGACGGGATGCATCTTCCGTTGCTTTTGCTCAAACATCTTTGCTGCCTCCTTGTCGTTGATCTTCTGAATGGTGTGTTGACGCTTGATCTTCTGGGCCTCTTGATAACCCTCACGCAACTTGCGTTTTCTAGCCTCCATCTTCTTGCTCTCGTCGACGGCTGGCTTATTGGTCTCGCTCGTGTTCGGTATCGAGACAGTAGCTGTAGTCGGCAGCATCTTCGCCGGGCGAACATACACCTTCTTCTTGTATGCCTCGGCGACGGGGACGGTAGGAAGCATCTTCGCCGGCGGTATCTGTAGCTTCTTCTTGTGTACCTCGGCGGCGGGAAGCATCTTCGCAGGCTGTATGTGCAACTTCTCCTTGTGTCCACGCGCATTGCCATCAGCTATCACTGCAGAGATGATCTGGCCTGGGATCCGATCATCAGCAGAGAGCTTGTCGAGCTCTTCCTTGACTGCTGTAGTTGTGGTGACGTTGGCCGCCCTCCACCCGCGCACGACGTCGCTCGCGAGCCTGCGGATCCGGGCCGAGCCGTGCTTCTCGAGGGCGCCGACGGTCCTTTCGAGGTCAGTGGACGCCAGCGCGCTGTGCGGGACGGGCGCCACCCGCAGAGTCTCTAGCGCTTCCGCCATGGCCTCGTCCAGCGCGGCGCGCGCCGCAGAGCTGCTCGGCCACGCCGTCGTCAGTGGCGCCGCGGAGCAGCTGGAGGATCCGGACCCTCACGTCCCGGAACGCGGCGCGCGGGTGGCCGCCTGCCTCCTCGATCGCGTCGTCGATGGCGCCGAAAGCGCTGTAGAATGGCCTCCACCTTCGCAGGAGGCTCCCGCTCTGCTCGTTGGCCATGGTGGAGGCGGATGCGGAAAAGCCGGCGGGTAGGGTCGGATGAGGGAAAGCCGGCGGGTAGGGCCGGCGGATGCGGATGGAATTGGGAAATTGGTGCGGATGGAATTGGAAAATTGGTGCGTCTGATTATATAGAACGAGCCGATCGAATCCGACTCAAGTTCCTGTGCATTCAATCAAGCGTGAGCGTGACGCGTTTCCGCGAGCACATCGAATTGGAGCAATCCGACACCGACTCGAGCTCGGCGGCTCTGCGCGCGCTGCCGGCAACTTGTACAAATTGTTTTACCACCATGGGAACCGCTGGGATCCTACCGTTGCCATGTGCGCCGCCGCTAGCCATGGCCGCCGTCACGCGCTTTCACGAGAGCAGCTCGGCTCGGGCATATTCCATCTGTACTGACGCAAGCGCCCCCACTAAGGTAAACTCATGCTGCTCTCCAACCCTTCGTACCTTCGCACAGAGCCGCAGTTCGCCGGGAAACCGTGCGCGCCGCCGTGAACGCCTACTGCTCCGTCGCCGCGCTCTGCGCTGCCGCCGCACATGGCCGGCCTGCCACATGCCGCCCCCGGACGGCCTCCTGGAACTCGAGGGTGCACGAGAGACTAGGGAGGTTCTCTATCCCACTCCCTACCGCCGGTGAGGCCATGCCCTGCCAAATCGATGGACGCCCTGTGGGCTGTGCGCCTGTGCTCTGTTTCTGTATGTGAAGAGGAAGGTGGAGTTGGGAGAGGAATAGAAGGAAGAGGAGGGTTCCATTTGAGAAAGTGCAAGAGAGGGGTTTCAGTGCTTTGAAAATACTTTTGCCGTCCCAATGCAAAGAAAGAGTTACCAGAAACAATGTGGTGAAGTTTTATAAAGTTAAATCAATCGGAGGACGAAGCAACATGGGAGCAAGAAAGCTATATCTTGAAGCATTATCCCCCCTTCTTTCTAGTTCACCGAGATAATTGTTTAAATCGAAATTTATTTCTTATCTCTTTTTTCACACTAGGCACATGAAAGGGAGGTAGAATTGTAACACCCTCGATGTTACACCATAAATTATCTACTAAAATATGTCATGAGCATCATACTTGTGTGTTAATGCATGTGGTGAAGTGAGTAGATAATGCATTGCAACTAAAACGATCAACAAAAATGCGAAACGGAGTTGCTCTCATGAGTTGTATACAGCTTAACAAGTAGGGTTTAAAACTATTTTTATTGAACAAAAATACTATAGAACATGTGTGTGATACTTAAATAAAGTTTGAAATACAAACTTTGTAGATGACAATGAAATACTTGCTTTTTAAAAATAATATTGCTTTGTAATATTTTCAATAGCCTAGAAATCGCAAATTGAAATCAAGTTCAGTTCAAAACTTAAAAAAATTCAAGTCTGTCAACAGCTAGACATTGCTATATTTAGCAATTTATTTTGAGAGATTGGGTTAAAGGGTAGTGTAGTGTTATAGCTCGACTTGGTAGTCTCATATGCCACCTTGAGCATGATGAAGATGGTTTAGGTCCAGAAGCAACCGTTAAGTTTTCTTGGTCGCTTTAAAATTCGTACAGGACACGGTTTCGGGCTAGTTAGCTGCGTGGGCGCGATCACCATGCTCGGGGGCTCGGCGTCGCCGTGTTGGTCGCGCGTGCGTGCGCTACCACGCGCGGCCGACCGTGGCCGGCTCTGGCCTGGCTATGGCTCGGCAGCCGCCTGCCCCACGCCGCGTCGCGACGGAGCCGCTACCGTCGCCATCACGTCCGCACTGCAGCCCTGCCTCGCGTTGTTGCTACCGACGCCACTGCAATGATGTGCTGCGCTGCCGCTCGCCTTGTCCTAGCACGCACGTGTATTGTCCCGGCCGCCGCCCAGCGCCGCCTCGCCTTAATAATGGCGCCAAGCGCCACACGCATGACGACTCACCGCCTCCGCCAGCGCGCACGTGGTTTGGCTTCATTGTTGTGTAGCGGGTGCGCAAATTCCGCCTTAGGTCCAGTCGGCCGCGTCCCGCCAATGCGAGGACGAGCCGAGCCCACCTGTCGTGCCCCGTCCCTCTCTCTATCTCTACAGCCGCCGTCGAGCCGCGCCATTAAATTAGTCTGGGAGAGATCACCTCAAGTCGATTCATTACGATGTTGGCTCCGCCACATAGCTGCCTAGCGACCCGTCCCCACCCCGCCTTGAATGGCGCCCGGTCGAGCTCCAATTTTGGAGTTTCCCCGCCGCCGTGCCGATAAGGCCGCGTCCGGCCGCGGGTGTGGGCAGCTCTCCCATCATTTCTCTCGAGCCAATTCACTTGCACCACTAGCATCGCCTTGACTCCCTCTCCACCTTGCACGTCTTAGTCAAACCACTACCGCCTCCCCTTCGTTGCTGACGCGACCGTGCTGCCGCAGTGCACCGCCGCACAGCTCAGCTGCACGTGGCCAGCCTTCCTCCGTCATCTTCCGCCCCAACCGTCACCTCGGCCTGGTCCATGGTAGTCTCATGAAGCTCACGCATTAATCAATTAGGCTTGTAGCTACCCCAGCCCACTGGAATAGTGGCACCGCCATCACGGATGGTCGCGCGCCGCTGTAGCCTTCCCTAGCTAGTCGTGTCACCCTACACCGCCGCTTAGCGTAGTCGCTCGGGTCGGAGATGGTGATCGACCCATTAGGTGGGCCCGCGCAAGTCCCAGGTAGCCGACGTAAGCGCTCGAAGCACGCCTCTCACACATACCGCAGGTGCAATTTGGGTCACCGGGGGCGCTGTAGCAGTGAATTAGGGAAAGGCCAGGGGATTAAGTGAGAAGTTATGAGAGAGGGAGAAATAGTGTTAGTACTTAGTTGTAATTTGGGAGAAGTGCGAGGACTATTTTGCACAAATGTCGTCACACGTGCAAGGGTTTTCCCGTCACAGTGGGCCGCATCAAGGGTTGCATGGGGGCAGCACTGTGTGTAATGTGGGAGGATTCGATTTTCTTTTCATAAGGAATTAGTAGTTTGCTAATATAATTTTTGAGATGATCTTTGGTAAATCATATAAAATCATGTAGGTATCTAAAATTCAAACAAATTTTGTTAAGTTCCTAAAATTGTGCTCTATCTGTTAGTGTACTTAGTTCATATATATGCATGTTGATACTAGGAGCTATTAAATCATTTAAAAATATTTAATATTGTTAGGAGCATTATTGTAGGAATGTTTGAGGTAAATTGGTGATAGCTTTATCCCTAAAAATTTTATAGCAAAGATCGTGGCATTATTATGCGCTCACCGTAATTTTGTAGCTTTAGAATAGACTAAACTTAAGGGTAGTAAAATGCTCTTTGTTTCAAATATACATTAAATCATTAGTAGAAATGAAGATATATCCTTCAATTGCTAGGTGTTTGTTGGTTAAACCCAACACTTTACTTGGTAAAGATGATAGTTAGCTTAGTACCTTAGTTATTAGAGCTAGCTTAGTAGCTTAGCATGTGTGTTCTTATTTTAAGAGTTGTTGTTGCATAAATACTAAGTGTTGCATCATCATTGCATGCATGTAGAAAACGAGTTGGTGGAGTTCGTGACCACCGGAGAGCAGGAGAGTACGAGGAGGTGATCGAGGAGTACGAGAAGGAGGTTCTCGTGCTAGAGGAGGTCCCGAGCCGTCACCGACTAACTTAGTGACACCCCGCCTTGCCCAAGGAAAGCTCCGATGCATAACCCTTATTTTGAATGATAACTGGATATATATATGTGATGTGCATTTACGTTACAGGATTTATATTAAAACTACACGCATAGATAACCTACCTATGAGTCCTACTAGCATAGGTTGAGTAGCTGTTATGCTTGGGCTATCAGTAGCGTGAGTAACCTGCCGTTACTCACAATAGGTGATTATTATTATTACTCTCATGATAAATGGTGAAAGGAAATGGAGACCGGGTAGAGATATGGTACGGGTATTGGTGGGTGTAATAGGTTGTGTCCTGCGGCCAACGGGGCAGAGCTTGGTTACACTGTTTTCCCTGTCCGTGTTGGTTAAGGACCGTCCGTTGCTGTAGATTCTAGTCAGGTCACGGACTTATTATCCTGAGCACATACTTGCTTATGGGAGCGGGAAGGCTTGTTGCTCTCTTGTCGTGGGTTCTGGCTCTTTTCGGACCGACTGATTGGAAGCGGGGATGGTGGAGGTCTAAGTACCACACTGAGTCCGAGACTCAGGAGTGGGGGCTTGGAGTCCAAGTTTAGACGGGGACCTGGACCTCTTGACAGGAGAGTGGGTTGGTCTTGCTTGTGCCTAGGGTACAAGCGGGGAGTGTGTTTTGAGGTACCCAGCTAGGATACATTGGTTCACGAATTGCCATGTGATACGGTACGACTTGGCTATGATCTAGCACCATAGTAAGAACTGAAGATGAAAAGGGATGAATGGATCTGATTGCTCAACTCTTGCTTGAAAGTAGAACAGGTGCTTACATAGAATGGTTAGCTAATGAACTAATCATGACTGCTAATAACACACATATATAAGGATTCACTACTAGTAATGCTTTTCACAAAAAGAAACCCAGCAAATCATAAAGTTTATCATATCCTTTAGAGTTGAGAAATTATTCCCACTAGTCGGATAAGTCTTGCGAGTACATTGTGTACTCAGGGTTTATTTACCCCTGTTGTAGGTGTAGCTTGAGGAGTGGCTGTTGCGTGGAGGATTCTTCTGGTGAGCACAGACGTATCCTTATATCTTATCGTTAGATGTTTATTTCAATTCCGCTGTTTAAATTTTGCACTCTGAACTTGGTGCTGTAATAATATATTTCTGAGAAC